TGCATATGTAAACCTTGGCGGTAAAGCTAATTCTGATTTTGATTTTGAGTCTACGCCTTCACAGTTTTCAACAATAGGGGTGGCAGATATACCACATTTTTAAAACCGTAGGTCTTTGATTGAAACAAAAACATCCTCACCACCTGATGATCCATATAGAAGGCATTAAAATGTAATAAATTTTTTTTTTTGCTGTATAACACTTACTATAGAAAAACATACCTGGACAAGCTATGCTAAGCAATCACATGTGAGTTTGGCAAACCTGACACTATCAAACGCTGGCTGAAGTTGCTGTAAATTTCAAACAAAAAAGTGTTAATTTCACCAAACCCAATAAAGCGCAGGACAGAGCTGCTATGGTGACGCTACACTCTGATATACTAGCACTTGCTCCCACTCCATGGATGTTGCAGTCCTGAACAGGTGTTTTTTTTAACGTCACCTGTACCTCCACTTAATAATGTAATTAGCTAATACCCTTTGAAATAACGCTAGGTTTTCACTGTAGGTAGTAAGATAATTAGCCGGGCATGATAACATTTGCAGCTTTCATTAGAGCAGATAAACACACAGTTACCAGAGTGACACTTTTATTTGAGCACCTTGCACACTGTTTTGGCATGTGGCCTGCCGTGCCTTGTACGTTTGGTAAGGTATGATGAACAATTGCTCTTTGGGGTCTGGGTTTGAACAGTCAGAGGGATCCTGATCAAGCAGGATATGCTTTGAGTTATGGCATTATGTTGTCATGTAAAGATAACTGACATGAAAGTGTTATCATCAGACATTCTTTAATGATGAGAATTGTCTCTAGACTTTATCTTCACCACACATAGCTCCACTGTGTGTTTGATCTGGCATTTCACATCTCAGATATGTTTGTACATGTGTGGCTCTGTGTTTGCATGTGCATGTAGCTACTGAGGATATGCACAATCCTGTCATCAGTATTTAAATTAGGAGTCTCTTGTGTCATTTCAGAATGCTTGACCATCTGCAGGAGTTCTCTCCACCCTCAGAGGGACTTGGACAGCATGGCAGTGGCTAACAGTCAGCCCACTGTGTTTGCACAGGAACACAGTCTGAAATCTGTCATGGCCTCTGTTTATACTTAGGCACTGCTTCGGTGCTCACCCTGCTGACTAGCGTGGGCCCCAGTCTGGTGTGGGCCTACTCCTTTTCAGTGGATGTTTCTATACACTGTAATAGTGTTTCTATGGTGTCATTGTGCTTCAATAAGTTATGTCTCAATTTGGTCTTCCACAAACACTGAAATACAAAGATTGGCCAATATGTGTTTTTGCTGTAGATCCTTGACCACCTACAATAGTTCAGACACAATTTCCTTTTAGTCATAGGCTATTTGTTGAGAGCGTAAGAAAGCCACTTCACCAAAATATAGTACTTTGTAACAATCATCTGTCCAGCTCTGTTATCTACAAATTATGTTCAGATGCAAATCTCTATTAGTGACTTACATCAAGTGACAATTTTTGTGCGGCGAAGACAGGGAAAAGTACATATGCAAGTGTGCATAAAGTAGCTTGTTAATGTCGCTTTTCATGAACCAACCAATCACAGGCTGGATGAGGCGGGACATTAAAAAATGGTTGACATCCAGAGTTGTTGTTTACACTTGGGACGCTGGGGACATGTCAGAATCAGAACGTCCCTACAACTTTTTCATAGCATTTGTTAAAAATGTTCTGAAAAACAGCTTGCAATGACAAATGTTAAATAACAAATCAAACTGCTTTGAGAAAGGTTTATTTGCACAATAAGATAACGTGCAATGGAAATGAAATAGGCGTATACAGTAGATGAAATAAATGTGCATTGTCCAAAACTCTTTACTTCAATCAAGCTACTGATTACTGTATTATATTATATGTTTTACTTTTGTATTGTCACCTGCCATTTTGTGACATTTCCACTATAAATTGGTGCAGAAAATGTCTCCAGAAAGAAGCAATTTAAGAGTTTAATTCTCAAAATCTGAGATCAGAGAATGAACACCATGTAGAATTAATATTGTAGCATACTAGTGGTAAGCTATATAGTAGCCTAGTCTATACTGTTATCTGAAATTATAATGAATGCACTAACATTAGCACTAATCAAACCTTAACCACAGCGGTGTAATACACACGCCGACATGTGAATGGAGAGCACTGACTGCAAAAGATAAGAAAGGTGTGAGATAAGGGTAGTGGTTGTTTTGCTTCCTTTTATTAACTAGACATCATTGTTGACATAACACTAATAATGATGACCACGATCTTTCTCCAACCTACCTGCTTATAAATCAGGTTGGTTAATAGTGTTTCAGAACAAATACTTTACACTACGGAAGCCCAAAGCGACCATCCATTCAAATATTTTTCTTACTCCATTTTCCCATGATAACAGAATAATTATCTCATGATCTTGAGATAACAGTAGTTTAACACAGGGCTCAGCAGAAGCATTTCACAATAATAATTTCAAAGGAATTTCCTGTGTCTGGTTAGTTCAATTGACTTGCAGTCAAGGGGAAGTATGTTCAATCCCCACTTTATCACTTTTTTATCTTTTTTATAATCCTCTTCAACAAAGTTCTGATGAAGAGACTGCTTCACATGCTCACAATAAAGCATGTGCCGGATTGTGTGCATCCCGGCGATTGTTCCACATCCATCAACCTATGGACTCTTCATTCACCCATCATTATCAGGCAAAGGAAATTCCTGCTTCTCATTCAGGGGAATCCATTTACTGTTACACATTTCCTGACGGCTATTTCAGAACCTTTGAAATAGCTGTCAGGAAATGTGTGATTGGATTCCCCTGAATCTCTTCATAACAAAAGGATGATAACAAACACACAAAAGAAGACAAAAAGTCATTGAGAGCAGAAATCAAACACACAATCCTTGGATTACAAGTCCTGTGCTCTACCATCTGAGCTAACTAGTGACACTAGCAACACAAATGCTATGCGGACGACACTCAGTTATACCTCCCGGTAAAGCCAACTAATCTCAGTGTGCTGCGTTCCCTCCAGGCTTGCCTGACTGACATAAAAGCCTGGATTTCAATAAACTTTCTACAACTCAAATCCTCGTAATCCCCAGCACACTACTAATCAAATTATACTCTCTATTGGTCATTTGTCTACCTACATTACGCCTGTTGCCAGAAATCTTGGTGTCCTTTTTGATAGCAATTTTTGCTTTGAACAACCCATTACTAAGCTTGTCCAATCATGCTTCTTTGCCACTAAAACTTACACACTGAACCTTTAACACTCCAGCAAGGAGAACTTTGATCACAAAAGCCTTACAAAAGCAGCTTTGGTTGCCTAACATTAATCATACATAGTTACCATATGCAGATCTTGTATAATAATAAAAATTCACTGGCAATAAACATTTGCAAAAATGTGCAATATCCACATTCTGCGTGTGAAGTTGCACTTCTTACACCACATTTACTGTAAGACTACATTAAGTACCTCAAGGAGGACGTTCTTGCAGCCACAGTGAAAGGAATAATGTGTTTACTGGACCAAAACAACTGCAGTGTAAACAGGTGGTACAGCTAGAAACCCTCACACCACACTGTGTCGCATTCTGCCCACACGCACAGAAACAGGCGTGATAGGATAGGAAATCTGAAAATTAATAAATCATTTGATCTTTAGCTGCAGATAGAGGGTTTATTGCAAGAGACATATTTGAAAATGGTTATTTTGCAACACCCATTTGTACTCGATTGTTTTTAGTATTATATTTTCATGGTGGTTGAGGAGCCTTGTCATGTGTTTGTTGAATACTCATTTCTTCTATTAAGCTAAAAAAAGAGAGAAGCAAATCAAACATGTATCCCGTCCTGCCACTGACGGCCATCAAATAGTGCAGGCAGCTTCGCACATGTGGTTCTATTTTGAGAGATAGAGACAAGAGACAACTTTAGGATGATTGACAAGCAACAGCTGGGAAGGAGGATAACATAAGGCTGGAATACAGTGTCACAGGAACACAGGTGTCAGTCACAACGGCTAATTAAAACAAAGCCAGCAGTGTTAATGAGAAATGATGAGTGAATGTGCCGCAGCTCTCATTTCTGTCAGTTTAACTTTGACAAACTTATCAGCAAAGAAAGACTCAGTGATCTCAAGAACGTTCGCAGACATAGCAAAATTAATTGATTTGGAAAAGTACTCTACTCATTCTTATGCACATGCAGAGTGTTGTTGGATTAGTAGCAAGAATACCACATTTCATGCCTGCAAACCTCAGATTTGCAACATGAAATTTTTATTTTGCTACTATGTATAAAGCTTGGACAAAGACAACAAAGAACATGCTGAATAACTCCAAGCTGAATCCTTTTTTTGACATGAAAGCTCCTCTGCACTCCACTCACTGAGTGCCATTTCCCAGGCGAAGCAGGCTGCTTTTGATATACGAAAAGAATAGCAAAACCTCATTTTATAATTCAAATTGAGCAATTAAAGGGATAGTTTGGGATTTTTGAAGTGAAGTCTGTAGAAGGTACTTGCAATAGATAGTGACCAGTGTGTCCCCATTTGGAGAAACAGAGAGCCGTACTGGTCCCAGATGCTAAACAATGTACTGTGAACGGTGTCAGCAGCAATTTGTATTTTAGCCACCTACAAGACAGCTCACTGAAAAAAAAAATCAATATTAGTTCAAGTGCTTAATATTTTCAGTACTTTACCATGCATTTCCTTTGTAATTACATTTTCTCAACCGTAGAACTTATGTATATCTACGCATAAGCACAACTTAGTTTTGCACTGTATTACGCTGCTGGAGATCTGCTGTTTGGATCAGAAAGTATTCCATTGAATGATACTGGGCTTGCTGGGGCTAGTTGCGCTGAATATAGACATTAGCACTCGATGTGCAGCACTGTGACAATTCTGTGTTTGCTGATCACTTCTCTGAAGAGGATAATGTAAAACCACGTGTTGTGACACAGGTCATCAGCCGGGCTCCGGGGCGGAGAGGGAGAGCACACACAGAGGGAGAGGGGAGGAGACACAGGGGAAAAAACAGAAATGTGAGACGAAGGAAAAAAAACAAAAGAACACAGGGCACTCACCTTCAGCCGGGCTTCCACTGCAACACCACGGCCAAATAAGCGAGATAGACATGTACTGAGGTGCACTGCTGTACACAACCATCAGGTAAAATGGCTCTAAATACCTACAATAAATGAAATGACTCACCACACAACTAGTAAAGTTTCCCCAGGAGTTTCCCCTCTCTCTCTCTCTCTCGTCCAGTGTTCTTCTGCACAAGTTCTTCTTCTGTACACTCTGGGAAAAGGTGTCACCTTGTCTCCACAGTGAAAGAAATTTCATTGTCACTGTTATAGTCACTCATTTAAATTTTCTTTTATTCATTGTCTCTTCCATAAAGGCTGACCCAAACAGCTGATCTCTGGCAGCGTAATATAGTGCACAGCCAAGTTACACTTGCATAGAAATACAAAAGTTCTACATTTGAGAAAATAGGTCCAAAGGACATGGCTGCCTGACAGCAAGGTAAAGTGTTGAAAATATTAAACACATAGACACCTGAACTGATATTGTTATTTTTAGGTGGGCTGTCTTTTAGGTGGCTAAAATATGTTTTGCTGCTGACCCTGTCCACAGCAGTACATTGTTGCTTCTGTGTCGATTCATGCTAACTATCAAGATGTGCTACTTAGCGGTTCTGTGCTCAACCCACAAACTCTATTTCCACACCCATATGCAACCTTGCTGTTGGGGATGCTGTTGAGACAGTGATGGCCGGCAATATCTAAAAAAACAAAAAATCATTGCACCTTTTGACCAGTAAGCATGTAAACAAATCAAGCATAGCGTTAGTTCAGGCAGGCAAGGAAGTCAAGCTCGGCTCATTCCAGCATATCAGCTGATAGCAGCCATCTTAAGCAGCACATCAGTGAATGAATAGCTTGCTTATGAAGCAGAGAGGCTTTCTGGCAAGCAATATTCAATACTCAGTATTCCTGAATGGCAGTGCTCATTTCATGGTGACCAGACCATTTTCTGGGGACAGCCCCCGGTTTTGGTGGCCTGTCCCCTTCTGGAGCTGTCCCCGGAAATGTACCCATTTTTAACTGTGTTGATCATAGACTGTATAAGGTGTTAACAGACCTGAAGTCAGATTTTACGTGGCCAGAAAGACTGGACAGCAGAGCGTACAGGTGTCGTGCCGAAAAGTGATAGACTGTGATAGAAAGTGATTGCCATCCACGGTAGCGCGCACAGCATGTCAAAGCTGAATCTCCCAGTCTCTTTACGTCTACAGCTGCTTTAATGGAGCAAACAGACATAACTGCAAATAAAAATCACTTTATTTCCTTGGTAATAGCAAAGGTATGTCTTTGTGAAACTTTAACGTTGCTTTTAACAGAATCCTTAACCTCAGTAACCTCCGTTTTCCGTTTGGAAAACGGAATGTAGCCTATAATTAATTATAATTTATTTCATTCAGAAGTTATATTTGACAGATTATAACTCAACAAGTACTTTTCTTACCTCTTAAAATGCCTTTAAATGGCCAAAACAACACATAAAATGCAATATTCTACTTGCCAGGAAGTGATTGCAGCCTCTACTTATTGACTGAAAGGTAGTTTCTGCTTCAAAATGACTTGATTGGTTTTATTTGACAGATTATAAAACCAAAATCATCCCCCTTTTTTTATTTCATATATAATAACATTATATTTTTTAATGACATACTGACCACCAAAACAAAGAGGTCCCCAGTTTTCATTTTTGAAATCTGGTCACCTTGCTCCAGTCGGACTCCCAATTTTGAGGAAAACCTCCGTATCGAGCACCACCTGCAGTTCCCCTTCGAGGGAACTCGAACTGCGTCGGTGACGACACTATGGGAACGCCTCTGGGCGTGGCAGGGTTGAACATGAATGAAACTACTCCAATCCTATTGGTGTTGCTAGAACGGTAACGTGTGACGGCGTAACTGGAGGCGTATATAAGCACGCCGGCACACCGGACACATTAGCCTTTTTTTTTCAGCAGGCACTCTGGCATGTTGAAGACTAAGAAAGCTACAGCACATCCGAACTCTTACCTGGAAGGATGGCAGACAGAGAGATGGCTGGTGAGCAATTCAGGCGATGAGTTTTCCCGTGCCCACGCTACATCACGACGGGCAACACTCATATCCTGTGTGTTTCCTGTCTGGGGATGCTACATGCCCAGGCAGCTCTCTTCTCCCAAGACGGCAGGAAGCGCTCTCCCCATGTATCGGGCCCGGCGGTCGCTGAGGCGGAGCGGTGGCTTCAGTCATGGGGTTCCCGGGGTCTCAGTCTCAGTCTCACCGGGGCCGGGGGAAGAGGTTCTGAGGTTTCTACCGGGGTCCCCCCCCCGAGAGAGGGCGAACGAGGTCCCCTCCCTCGTGACAGCTCAGGAAGCAGGCGCTGTTATCCCGCTGCATCGACACCCAGGACGCGCTGGCCTCCAGCAAACACGTGCCATTCTGCCTGCCACGAGGAGCCGTAGTTGGCAGGAGTTTCGGCTCACATACCATGGGTTATCGGCAGGGTTTCCCTGGCGGAGCTCCGTTTCAGGGTGCCGCCGAGGGCCTACGCAGAACACCGGCCACCAGCCCCGAGGGGCTGGGCCATAGAACACATACCCCAGCCAGTCAGGGAGTCCGGGTTCTACAGCCGGTACTTCATAGTTCCCAAAAAAGACGGAGGATTGCATCCAATCTTAGATCTACGGTTCCTGAACAAATCTCTGAGGAGATTCAGGTTCAAGATGCTCACCATCCCCGCCATCGTCAGTCTGATCCAATCTGAGGATTGGTTTGTCACGATAGATCTACAAGACGCATATTTCCACATCTCCATCCATCCCTCTCACAGGAAGTTCCTGAGGTTCGCCTGCGGGGGCGTGGCATACCAGTATTGGGTTCTTCCGTTCGGCCTAGCACTCTCTCCTCGCACGTTCACCAAGTGTATGGATGCAGCTCTGGCCCCAGTGAGACTCAAGGGCATCTGCATATTGAACTACATCGACGACTGGCTCAATCTGGCCCAGTGACGATGTGGGCCCACCTGTCGCCTGCACGCATCGGGTCCATTTTGTCCTCAGTAACCAGAATGAAGCTAGGCCGCTCCATCACTGTGAAACACTTTCAGAGAGTGTTGGGTCTCATGGCAGCAGCGTCCAACGTAATCCCATCTGGCCTGCTGCACATGAGAGCCCTGCAGTGGTGGTTGAAATCCAAGGGATTCTCCCCGAGGGGAAATCCTTTTACTGCTTTCAGCTGAATTTAATAGGAAAAATGGCCAACTGTGGAAACTGGACAACAATTTGAGCTTTGTGGGAGTCTGTGGTATAACGGACATTACCAGGGGGGTTTAATAAATAAATAATAGAAGCCTGGACAGAGACTTCATTGCTCATTATGTGGTCAACACTTTCTCAGCAGCCCACTACTTGCCCCAGATGTGTGTGATACTCATAAAGTTCAAGTTTTAAAAGCTTGAAACAAACCAACAAAGACTACTGAGACTGCTCAAAACCGCCCTATATGGTTGTAACATTAGGAGAGTTGTAACAACACCCATTGCACCAAATAGAGATAAGATAGGAGTTAGGTGATCATTTCAGTATTTACCTACTTCCTCCCCAGTCAGGAATGGTGGTTATCAAGTCTTGAAAGAGATGTATTCTGAATATATAGTGAAAAAAATGATTTTGAGGTAAGAAAGTAAAGTTTTTGACCAAGACTATTTTTTGTTCAGTATCTATACTATTACAGATAGAATTGTTTCACTTATATTAGATTAAAATATAGTTTCTCAGGCAACATGTGATGCATTTTTTCCTTTCTAATTTCAAACCACTATGGTAATACAGGTAGCAAAACATTGGCTGACAGGGGTGGGGTGGTTTGTAACATTTCCATAAAAAGTGTTACAACCATCCATGATACATAAAACTTGGTACTTTCTTGATTTTAATATTTTCCAGATTGCCCTGCTATGACCAGTACTCCCCATTCACATGCTGTACACATGTTTGCGTATGTATTGTCACTCAAACTTTTCCATACTCGTAGAGTATTTTGTAAATATCCACTTTTTAAAAATGGAGACAATAGCCTACTGTAATAATACTTTTACTTTATTCACTGTACACACACAGATTACACAGTTAGAAAAGCAGTTGGCAGCAGTGACTGATTTTTATTTTTTAAAGTCTGAAGGCATGGGTCTTGGCATGTTATATCAAAATATCTAGCACTATCAATGTTTGTACATCTAAATCACGTAAATTAGGATATGCCAACAGTAGCTGTGGTGAGCAGTAGTATCTTTATGTGGATAACTGTTTAAATAACCGTGTATGTTAAACATCTCACTGCTCCAAAACAGCTGATTCAAACTACCAACTAGTTATGAATCCTGAAGCTGCTTCAATCAGCTGTGTCGAAGCAGGGAGAGAGTAAGTCATGCAGGACAGGGGGTTCTCCAGGAAAGGGAAAACTCTGTCGTAGTACATAAACTTCAATTCAACTAAGATCAATTCATACAGCCAGCAAAGTCTTTGGACGCTGTTTTACGTTAAGTGTGAAAAGCTACACCGAACGGTCTAAACGATACAGATTTTTATTTTATCTTCTTCTGGACAAATAACTAACCTGAGCGTCGTCAACATGTTAAGACAAATGCAAACCTATGCCCTTCCAAAATGCTTTACAAAAAACGAACACACTGTGGCAGTGTGTACAGTCTATGAGTAGCTTATGTTATCCAAAGGAAAAAAAAGCTAATCCTGCTACTTCAGGAGCTAACGCTAGCCACTGTTGGCGTAGCTGAACGTTACCTATGTAGAACGACAAACTTACACACGTGTAACATTCTGTAATTTGTGTAATTTAGATGTACAATATTGACAGCGTTAGTTATTGACGGCGAACATATACCAAGAGCAATGCATTCAGACTTTACTCCGTTTTTTTGGATAATGCTAACCAGTCACCTACCGCTGTCGCAATGTGTAGAGTAGCAAAACAACTATAGACTGTATGGAAACAACCGAGAATGCATCACGTTACGTTCTGTGGGGACGTAAAAAACTGACCGGCCTGACAGTGGAGGTCTGCAGTTGGATCCCTTTCTCCCCTGCTGCCA